CTAGCTAAAGCAGAAATTTTTCAGAACAATTGTGTTGCTTTCTAAGTATCTTTTTAAATATAATCTTACTTTTATTTGATAGATACATTACCTCTTTGAGTACAATAATGGTTATTAATTTTCATTTCTGTTTCTTTTAAGTTTTTTATTTGTTCGTCGGTTTAGTTCTCTATCTTTGATATTGGAGGGTTTCCTCAGATAGCTTGTCACCCTTGGCTGTTTGCTCATATTGATGAGTAGTTTCCTATAAAGCTAATTAAAAGGTCAGAGTATTTAGTGTGACTTTCTATAACTTACTAAGAAAATGTGCAGAAACAGATGCATATTTTAAAAAATTTACGCTTCAGAATAGTTTGGCATATTTAGTTAGACTTATATGTTACTGTACATTAATATTTATGTATTTTATGGTTTGAAACAATGCCCAAGCTGAGCAGAGTCTTGAAGATCCAACTATCAGGGGATTAAATTAGGGCCATTGAGATTACCTCAGAGCCAAAGATAAGTGAGGCTTGTCTGCATTTTATTTAAGGATTGTGTCCATAAATAGTTTTCATAAATCCTTAAATAAAATGCAGACAAGCCTCACTTATCTTTGGCTCTGAGGTAATCTCAATGGCCCTAATTTAATCCCCTGATAGTTGGATAGTTTTCATAATCCAAAGTTAGTATACTACTGACAAAAGACAGAAGGTATTTCTATTTAATGACTAAAGTGATACCAAATTGTGGCAATAGCATAACACAGCTTATCTTTCACATACCTGCCCACTTTGAAATTATGTTCTTCCTGATGAATTTTTTTACTTGAACTATTTCAAAAGTTGAATGCCCAGTCAAACTTTCAATATTTTGTGTTGTATGATCTTAAATTTGCATAGCTAAAATTCCATAAATTTTGACCAAATGGGAACATGTAAGGCAGTACTCTCTGATATTATCTCTCTACTTTTTCCAACCACGCTGGCTTCTGGTTCCTTGAGTACTGCATGCTTCTTCCTGCCAAAGGACCTTCATATGTGCTCCTTCTGGGATGTTACCCACTCTCATCCCTGACTTCTTCACCTTTGTAAATCCTACTCATGCTTAGGGTGCCACCCTCAGTATCAGGTCAAGTTTCTTTATCAGTGCTTCTCATGAAAGTATATTATTTGAGAGTCCTTATTTCAGTTTTAAATTATATGCTCATAATTGAAGTGCGTTTTGATTAAGTTTCCTGAGGAGAGAGTCAAAGTCCCATTTTGTTTACCATGCCATCCTCAGTAGCTAGCATGGCTGCTGACACAGATGGTGCTTAAAAATTGTTGAATGAATTAATTAAATAATGAACAAATATTCATAGTTGCTTCATTAAATTCTAATCAGCCATAGCAGCCCACATAATAAAATGAATCGTGGGTTTTATTATTTATTTATTTATTATTTTTAAGATGAAGTTTCACTCTTGTCCCCATGCTGGAGTGCAATAGCACAATCTCGGCTCACTACAAACTCCACCTCCCAGGTTCAAGTGATTCTCCTGCCTCAGCCTCCTGAGTAGGTGGAATTATAGCCGTGCGCCACCATGCCCAGCTAATTTTTGTATTTTTAATAGAGACAGGGTTACACCATGTTGGCCAGGCTGGCCTCAAACTCCTGAACTCAAGTGATCCACCTGCCTGTGCCTCCCAAAGTGCTAGGATTACAAGCATAAGCCAGTGCACATGGCCCATGGGTTTTAAAACAAAGGAAAGGACCCTTCAATATAATAATAATAGGTAATATTTATTGAGCCTTATATACATGCACCAGTAACCACTATTTTAAATGCTTTTTGTGCCTTATCTCATTTAATTCTCCCTCAAATCCTGTGAGATAGGCATCATAATTATTCTCTTTACTGGTGCGGAAGTTGTGGTAGGTCTTACTGTTAGCAAGAGGAAAGCTTGGATTCAATCTGGGCAGTCTGACCTCACACTTTATGCTCTTAAATGTTATCTAGCCTGACCCCACCATTTTATAGATGAGGACATTGAGGCCCAGAAGGAAAATATCTTGTTTAAATTCTTAAATCAATTTCGTGGCAAAGCTAGGAGTAGAACCCAGGCAATCTGGATTAATAATGTGTAGCTTTAACTAGTTTACTCTGCTAATGATAATAAATTAACTCTAATAATAAATGTTTAACATAATGATTCTTCTAATTTTATCTTTAACATGTTGTCTTTCTCCAAATGACGATCAATGGCTTTTTGAGCCAGGAGTTTACTAACTTTCTTAGATGAACACCTAATAAAAGGAGAAATATTTGGGGAAGGGAGATGGAGTTATTTCTAAGGAATCAAAGTAAGATCTATTAGTTAAACACCTTACATCTATTAAACAATTGTTAAGTATGACCTGACTGCTAGCCTGGTGCCAAGGCTTTAATACTAGGTTTGTTGTTATTGTTGTTGGCAGTGATTAGAGGGATACAGAGAGATTAACGTAATTGGTCCCAAATCACATAGCTAGTAAGTGATGGATCTAGGCTTACTCTCAACTCTGATTACAAAATAAGGAGAAACAGAAGGTGAGATATTGGCTACTGGCATTTCGTAACATTGGTCCCTCCATAACGATGGACAGAGGTTCTTTTCTTCTAAGGTACTTAAGGACAGCAAATCACTAGTTATTTCATATGTGATTATCTTAAATTGGCCACTGTGTGTTTTTAAACTAATAAATTATACCTGTCTGTTTTGTCTGTGAGCTCCTAGAGAGAAACACATGTGCTTTATATTTCAATTCAATTTATAAACAATTCTTTGTTTTCCTAGCATCTAGCACAATACCTGACAAAGAGGCAACTATTTATTTAATAATGGCTATAAATAATAATATTTATCATATTTGTGACATGGTATAGTTAATATGGTTATGGTAGGAAATGAATTTTGAGTTACAGACATGGGATTATGATAAGGCATAAAAGGCTTTGCCAGCTCTGGTGAAAGTCTTTGAAGATTATCAGCTGTGCAATATTGAGGAAGTTTATTGCACCTCTCTTTGTCCCAATTTTCTTATATGTAAAATACAAAAAATGCATCCTTTGCAGGGTTGTTGTGAGAAATTATAATTCAGGTAAAGTAGCTGGCATATAGTTGACAATAAATAAATGAGTTATCATCTTGGGTCAGTGAAGAGGCAATAGACTAAGATATTCCATTATGATGTAGGGAAGATGTTTTGGGGAATTCATGCCCTTAATATAACAGTTTTTACTTTGTGACTTCCTCAAAATTCTATGTAAAATTCTGAATATGTTTGTTTCTCTGGGGAGAAGACCCACTTATTTAATTCATTTCTTAAAGTGGTATGTGGCCTAAAAGTTTAATAACTATAGCTCCAATTACTTTTAAGTAGAAACATATATTAAAACAGTGCCATAATCGCCCCTCCCCAAAATTAGGCCCATCAAAATCTCAAATCCAAGACAGATCAAATGTCTTTAGACAAAGAATTTGCCATCTTCCCTCTAAGTTCTGGTATATTGCAACTTTTGCCAGGGAAGAACAGAAAAGGAAACCACAGGAAAAAGAATGGAAGCACTCCCTTACCCCAACCCTACCACTAGTTTAGTAGCAAGAAGAAACTTTATCTAAGGCCATGTTCACCAGAATATACCTGTGAATCCTGCATAGAGTGAAGAATATGCATTTGGAATCTCTATCACATGTGAAACTTCTAGAAACTGGGAGAAATGAAGACTCAGAGCAATAAATATGTCTGATCATAGGGGCTTTAACTGCTTTGTCCCTCATTCTCCATCCTTTCCCACCCCATTAACCCTGAAATTCAAAACTTCTTTTATTTTCTAAATTAATGAGTTGGGGTTTGGTTTCAATGTCTGATGGTCCACGGTGAAGTAAAAAAGACAATATAGTGCATATTAAACAAAGGACTGATTGTCTTTTGGTATTAAATGATCTTATGTGATTTGACAATAAATAGTTTTTGTTTTTAAATAGTTCCTACTGAGCACAATAAAAAGTTGGCTACTATAAAGACTCTCCTTTCCATTTTTCTCATTAAAAGATTTCCAGGTCCTGCCTGGGCAACCTAGTGAAACACTGTCTCTACAAAAAATACAAAAATTAGTCAGGTGTGGTGGTGCACACCTGTAGTCCCAGCTCCTTGGGAGGCTGAGATGGATGGATCACTTGAGCTGGGAGGTGTTGGTTGCAGTGAGCCAAGATTGTGCCACTGCACTCTAGTCTAGGGAGCAGAGCGAGACACTGGCTAAAAAAATTAAAAAAAAAAAACAAAACTCCAGGTGTGAAATCCAAGTTCAAAAATCACTGAATTAGGGCAGTATTGCAATAGTCCAGGTGAAATACCATGAAAACTTGAATTAAGGCAGTGGCAACAGTGTTAGAAAGGCAGGAGAATTGAGAGTGACCAGTTGGATGTGAGGTTGGAAGAGGCATGAATTGCTGGCTTGGATGGATGGCAGCATCATTCACTGAGCTAGGGCACACTCAGAGGGTAAAGAGCTAGAACAAACTCAGACTTGAATAAATGTCTGAGGATGTTGCAGAATGTCAAACTAGAGACAGCCAGCCTACAAATGAAAATGTAAGCCAGGAACATGGGGGAGATTTGTGGACATCTGGGTGGTAGCTGAAGTGGTAGAAGTGGATGAGGTTATCCAGTGAGAAGAGACATTTCCTCATGCACGTCTTCCAATTTCTTTGAGTAGTGGTGTTCAAAACCAAGGAAGTGACTGTTGGCTCATGTTTGCCTCAACAACCATGCTATGGCTAGCCAGAACTTCAGGCTCTGATGGGTGACTCAAATGGTTTGGGCAGTTGAAAGCAAAGTTCAATATTTCTAGACATAACAAATATTTTGAAATACTGGGCACTGTAGGGACTGAATTTGGAAAAGTCCTGAATAAAGGAAACAAGGTCCATGAGTGAGTGGTAAGTGACATAATGTAGGAACTGTAGGGAATTATGGAAAATCTGACATCTTTTGGGTACCAGGCAAATCAGCATTTATTACTTTCAATAAACAGCTTTAACATTTTGAGAGGACTGCACCTCTGCAGATTCCATCTGGATCACAAAACAAAGACACAATTTGTTTTAAGGTCTTTGAAGACTGGACACACTAGAAGATGATTCCTCAATTTGAGGGGCAAAAGAATCCCCTACATGAAACTCTAGCCCAGTGCTTCTCAAACTTCAATATGCACACAAAACACCTAGGGATCTTGTTAAAAATCAGGTTCTCATTCAGCAGTACTGGTGTAGGGCTTGGAATTTAGCATTCCTAACAAGTTCCCAGATGATGGTAATGCTGCTGGTCTATTCAAAGTGTTACTCAAGGTATTATTAGAACCTTCTATGGCAATTTGACATTGATGAGTGGACTCGTCTCCAAAAGGGTACCAACTTTTTGCAATTCGTTTATTTCCCCTTATGTTATGTTTGTCTTGAAATGTAATTTTACATGTTAAATCTAATACATTTGGGCTTTTATTTTGCATATCTTTTATTCCATTTAAATTTCTTAGAAATTCATTTTTATTGTGTTTTATAATAGTATTGTTCTGTGATGGATTGCAAAAGCTATTGGTCCCTCCCCACAGATAGTTTGAGAAACACTGCTCTAGATGATAAAGAATTTTTTATTTGGGACACAGATGTAATTATAAATGGTTTGATTTCTATTACATATGATTCTAAAGCAGTATTTTAAACTTTTCTTTTTATTTATTTCATAAACAATAACAAAACTCAGCTAGGTAACATTATGACAGTTTCACTGTACATTCAGTCACAAATATTTGAAACCTTCGCAACAAGAACAACAAAACCAGAAGTGTTACAAGAATAATTTACAAGAAAATCTATAAAACAGCAAGAAGCTCACAAATGTTCATTTTCTTTTGCACAAGATCACTACACTCTTTCACAACATGTTTTGTGTTACAAAATTTCAACAAAAGTGTATTTTTTTCTTTGTATTGTGGTTTCTAAAACCAGAAACTTTGAAGTAAATATCCTTTTATTAGCACCTAGTGGTGCAGAAAAAGGAAAACTCTCACATACAGACACTTCACAGCACTTTTCTAAGAAAAATATACACTTACAAAATATGTTACAAATTGGCACACTTAAAAATATACAAGATTTTGTAGGCGTCTTAAGAGTGATCCTTAAGCTTTATACTTCAATTGACTCTACAGGTTATTTATAAAGCTTAACTCTAAAAGAAAAAAAGGCAAATAATTTCCTAACATTTTTAAGTTGCAGTGTCATATGTCAAACAGAAACTTAGGTTACATTCATAAAAAGGGCCTCTAATGTTTTATTTTAAATTTTCTTAAATGCTTAAGGGGCTTGGGGAAGAAAAAAATGGGATTAATCATTTCCTTTAGCACCATAAATCAGCAACTTACTAAAGAGGTGCATTCAATTCTATGGAAACTAAGGACTAGTACATTCAAAACTCTGTAGGCAGCAAACTCCAGTCAGTGCTACAGGTATCCCAGTAGAGCATCTTAAGATTTCTACCCTCTTCACTGGGAGTGAAAAACAAAAGGCCTCTTCTAGTTTTCATTCTAAGCCTTTTTTTTTGTGCTGTAAATAACCAGTCATCTCTCAAAGAGGCAGAATGTTTTCAATATCTCTTTTCTTCTTTTTGAAATGGGATGTCATTCTGAGACTCAGAAACCCCTGAGCTTGTTAGATGAACAGACATCCTTTCTGTCTTATGTGTATGAGTGTTTCTTCAGTGTCTTTATTATCGATTTACCCAGATACTGATTTTGAAACCCTCATTCATACCCTAAACTTTGTGCGAAACCTCTATCTTTTACATTGTCCTTCTCCAATGTCTTACCTCTTAGTTACGATTCTGAAACCAAGAGTACATCTCAAGTATCACGTAGCTGCAATGGGAGATCTGCTTCACAACTGTAGCTAGTGTTTAATGCTGAGTAAAAAATGTGTCTTAAAGGGTAGCCTGAGTACTGTCATCAAAATAATCACATGCTGGTTGAGGACCCTCAAGCTGATGACAGTGTTTCCCAAGTTAAACAGCCCAACTAAAATTTTTTTCTCCCTTATTTGAGTCTTTGAGAAACCTTTACAAAATCCCTGGCCTACATTGTGTTGACAGGATTTCTGTGTGTTACTAAAAGTTTGATTTTGGTACTAAATCTTCCAAATATAACTACAGGCATAGTAAATTTTATGATTAGAAAACAAACCAACCTCACATTAGTTTTATTTTATAAAAAGAACATGTTTCTTTAGTGATGGGCAGTCATTAAAAAAAATCCCTAAATGAAAATGGGAACTCCTTAAATTAGATAATTTCTCAATAATAAAGGAGAAAACAAACATTTCTATTTCTAGCAATAGTTAGGACTAGCTAGTGCTCCATGCTCCTCTTCAGCATAGAAACTTAGCTCTCTTCAATTCTTGGAACTGTTCTGAGAGCATCCGTAAGCTGAAGACATGTTGGATCTACATCACACTGATCCAGATTGTTAATAGCAAGCATGGCTAAAAGGTCCTTGGATATGGTTTTTCTCCTTTAGGCAGTAAATACTATTAAAACCTAAACTAAAACAGAAAATCACTAGAACTGCAAAACCTCACATAACAGGAATTAGGATGCTTGCTAGAGTTGTTTATAGCTTTCAAAGCATCCTTTTGCCTCTCTCTTACACACACATACTCCTCTTCCTTGCCCTCTCAGATACGCAGATGCTTCCCAGCAAGGAAAAAATTCAGAGAAGGTGAAAGTTGTCACAAAAGCCCACCTAGCACCAAGGACTTCAGTGAGATGGCTGAAGAAGTGATGGTCAAAGTAATGCAGGAGGTTTGAAAACATTAGGAAAAGGTAAGGCCTTGACACATAGTAGCACAGAGTAACAAGAAGTCAGAAGGGAAAGCTGGGAGGAAGCAGCATATGTGAAGAAGCTGGTATAAGAGACCTTGGAGAGGCAGAGAGGATGGTCACTGGTTCAAGCCAGTTATCACAGCCCAAAGATGACCCCCAAAGTCTCAATACCCTGCTCCATATAGTATAGCACCTAACCAGGGCAGGAGATGAGACCTATTCTTACAGATCTTCAGGGAAAAGGAAATTCTAAGTTTCCTCAGTCATGTGGTATAATGTATCCATGTGTGCATGAATGTATGTTTAAAATTATATTTGAGGGATGAAATACCACCTATTGGGTACAATGTACATTATTTGGGCAATGGGTACACTAAAAGCCCAGATTTGACCATTAAGAAATATATCCATGTAACACAACTGCCCTAATCCATACAAATAAAAAAATAATTAAACAATTAGATTTAAAAATAGACAAAGCAATTAAAGGCAATTAAGAATGAGAAGGTTTCCCTTTGAACTTCCAGAAGAAAGCAGCCTGATGAAGGTTGTTGAGCCCTGACAATTTTGGGCAGGTGGGATATAAGACCATAAAAGAAAAATTCTAGGAATTTTCTTAAAAATTCCTAGAATTTCTTAGTTCTAAGAAAAGACCAAGGTCTGAGATTAAGTAAGAAGAATACGGGAGGTTACCATTTCAAGGAAAGTAAAGATTAAATGGGACTCTGTTAGAGAGGCAATACTAAGAAACAGCTTCTCAGAGAGGAGAGGTTAGAAGGGGGTGGTAATCAGGAATTTCAGAGGAAGGATAATATATATTTCTGACTTGAGAGATCAGCGATAGGGCAAAACACTATTTTTATACTCAACTAAGGCAGCTGGTTATGACAGGAAGAAAAAGAACTGTGAGAGCAGAGACAGGACCAACAAAATGCTAAATGATGAACATCTCAGAACACAATGTACTGAGAGGGATATTAAATGCAATTAAGAGAATAAACATCTTCTGCCTTGGCCTATTGCTCATTTCTCAAACTCTGTTTCTTGTTATGTTTCAGTACAAAGTGACTGGTTATGAGTCACTAATTTATATGTCAAAAACATATAATACACCGCAGGCCAATTAAAAAAGTGCTTTAAAATAACAATTCTCTTTGGAGGAAGGGATGAACTATGCCCTAGAATTGGCCCTTAATGGGCTCCATAGAAGCAAATGAAAGTATTTCCATTCCAAAGGACTTAAGATAGCAAGTTCTCACAAGGAAATTGTTTCCAACAGTTTCAGGCTGTCGTTCTACCCCACTCACACCCCATTCTCCAAAGCTGAACTGATACTGAAAAAAAAAAAAACTGGGACAACTGCTCCCATATTTATTTTTATAAAAACACATTGTATTAATGGAATCTTTTCTTTATTTTTTCATTAATTGCCACCTTTTGATTACATAGAAAGCACTCCACTCCTCTAAGCCAGCAGGTGATGTTGAGGTCTAGAGTCTTGGGGATCACAATACAGGCAGAGTTGGTGATTCCAAGCCAAAACTCAGCTGCAAAACAGAAAGACAAAAACAAAAACAAAACAAATACCAGTTCCTAGGGACTGGCCATGGCATTTAGTACAGCTAGCTATCAGAGCAGAGAAATAGAAGGTTTTCCAGTTTGGTTATTTTCCCTTTTAGATGGTAGCTATAGAGCAGGAGACATGTTTCATCTGGTGCCTTTCCACTAAGTAATTTTCTAGGGCTCACTGCACATAGAGCATCAAAGCCTAGGAATGGGCCTGAACAAGCCTCACAGAATGCTCCTCACCCACTCATCCCCACAGACACAAGAGACTGACGCTGGAAACATACACGATCAAGAACACAGGGTTGTTCATTTTAAGATCCAGCTGTAAGGAGTAGAGCACGCTGGTGAAAGGAATCATGGACCGGGAAGTGTATATACTTATATACATGGCAGGCTTCCTTCCATTTCTCTCTGACTACTTTCAAATGTTGCTTCTCTGTTTGTGAATACATTTAGGTGGCATTGACTAATTAGGTTCATATTTTGCTTAAAATTTTCCTTTTGAAACATCTTCCCTTTTTTGTTAAATCCCCTTTTTCCCTTCCCACTTATTCTCCACCCTCCCACCCCAGCCTATATATTCACAAGTTAATAGGTTAGTAACAATATTAATAAGAATAGTAACAATGACAACAACTAACAATATTAATAATATTAATACCCTATATCTGTATAGCACTTTATGATCTACAAAGCGCTTTCACATCCATTATCTCATCTGTGCCATAATGCATCAGTCATGATGCATAGGCCTTCAATTGTGCAAAGAAAAGAGATCAAGTGTTAGAAGTCAACCGGTGAATAAAGGGGAAGAAAAATTAGTAGTGAGGAGTGTTAGAGATGTGAATGTTTTTTTTAAAGTATGGGAAGGACTGAATTAAAAATGTGATTTAAAAATTTGTACAAAAAATTGAGATTTAAATTTAGTGTGTGGCATCAAATACTCGTTGTCCTCAGACTAAGTATATAAGGCCAAAATCAGTTGTTGCCACAAATTGTTCATCTTATCTGATAGTAAATGTACTTTACTAATAGGAAGAAAAATTTGGTTGAACTGGGATGCCTTAACATTTTCTTTAAATGACATTGGCATTGCAAGATTAAACACTGAAAGAACACTAAAGCCATGATATGAGTGCACTTTTGACAAAACTGGAATAAAACATTTAGGAAACTATTTAAATAAAAGCATTCTATATACTTCATTTATCATTAGTGTTGATTTTATAGCTATTTTTTATAATTTATCCCAGACTATTATAAAATATATAAAACTGAGATATAAAGTATCAGCTATATAACTTTGCACTTTAAATAATTTTCAGCTACAGATTTTGCTTTTAGAAAACAAACTTTCAAAGCAGCTGTTTTGTTTCCTTGTAAAAGGTTCTGTAAATGCATATACTTGGGTCCCTGATGGACTTAACTGTTGTGGCCTTCAGACTTTTTCCAACATTTTAACCCTTAGACAATGGAACAAACAAATCTTTATTGTGCCTTGTTTAGCCGTTCATGTTTCCACACAGGACAGTAGAGTTTAAAACTTTAAAAGAATGTATATGTGTGTGTGTATACATACATACACCCACACACACCCACACCCACACCCACACCCACCCCCCCCCACACACACACACATATACATATACATATATATGTTTGGGTGTGTATATATATCCATTTAAAAATTATTAATGAGCTTTAAACTATGGGTGAATCTGTGAGATGAGGTAAGAAAATTTGGCACATTTCAAACAGTATCCTTTAAATTTTGGTAAATTGTGTAACACAACATATTTTTTCACCATGATCTACAGGTGCTATCCACATAAGTGGGGTTTGTTAATAGCAAGAATCACTGGAATGTTTCTAGTAAATTAACAGGGACAAGTTCCCCAAACACAACCAAATGTTGATATAGAAGTAAAAATATATACAGTACAGTCACTTGTTTGTAGTTTGGCACAACGTTTTCCATTTTCTCCTTGTGAGTAAATAGTGCATAAACTACTTGTGCAACTGTATGACTTTTTAAGTCTTTTACATAGAACATCAGATTAAAGTTTGCTCCAAAGACGTATTCCCACAATTTAAAATTCTTTTCTTTAATCACTTACATATTAACATACATACCACAAGGCATATTTTGAAAGAAATAAAACACAAACATCAAATGTCTTTCTGGAAAATGCGAGTCTCTTCTTCAAAGACAGGTAAAACCCAAAAGGTTGTTTCTGCTTTTAGGAGATTGTAGTTAGAATCCCTGCAGAAAAATCAAACAATTTATGCCATCTTAGTTTTAGTGTCTGTCCCACAAAGGGATCATATAAGCTAAATTTGTTAACATCATACAAATGCCGTATGATATAGAAAAAGATACAAATAGCATGGGGCACTAGAAAGCCCTCCTGATTGCCACATGTCCAGATTTTGTTTTCCAACTAACGCTCTTTTTGTTTAAATTATCTTGGCTTTTTGTCTACATGATTTTTAAATTCTATTTTCCAAAATCTGTCTTACTGCAAAGACTTTTACTTCCAAAAATCATTCAAGAACATATTTTAGTTCTGTTTTCTTAATATGTAATAACTAGTGATGAATAGCAGAAGAAAAAATAGCTTTGTTAGAGCTTATCCCTAGCCAAGCCACAACAAAATTGCCCAATCTTTTGGGTGGCATTAAGGTATAGGGATTTTCATGCACTTTAAAATTTTCTTTTTAATTTTAAAAAGAAAGGAATGGGACAGTTTCTTTCATGCAAATTTTTGCTTTTAAGAGGGAAAAAATGAGGGACTGCAGGCTTAGTAGGTAGTAAGGGTGCATCATTTCAGCCATATTGGTGCAGTATTACCTCAGTTTTTCAAAAGAAGCTGTCCCAGACTCATCCTTGTGGACCTGCTCTCGCTCCATGTGCTTTCCCTTACATTTCTCATCTCTCAGGGCCTTGGAGCTGGATTTGTGACGATACAACTTTTTGTGTGTCGGTCCGTTATTGCCTAAAGTGCTCATGTTACTATACTTTTTATCAAAGAAGGTAGAGCGAGAGTCCTCGTTATAACCAGGGATGTTTGCACGACCAGGATCACCTGTTGTTGCTTTCCCATTGCTTTTGCTGACACCCTTGATTGACCTGTGATTCTTAGTGGCTCCTGGTGACCCACTGTTGATCTTTTTCTTAGACTCCTGTGGTGTCCCAGCCAATATTTTGAGGGTTTTTAATTTTAGACTATTGGACTCAGGGGAGTAGAATATGTTGGGATCCCCATGATGCTCCATGGGTTCCCAAAGGGGCTCTATGGAAGCCATCATGAATCTCTGCACATCTGCCATACCAGAGGCAATGTTAGACAAGATATAGGAAGGCTCCTGAAATTCCCGTTGGTCATCATCTAGAAGGCTGTTGGTGTTGGTGCCCATGCTCATTTCACTCCAGCCTGGGCTGCTTTCCTTCCCCAAGGCCCAATCTCCACAAAGTCCCTTTTGACTTGGCATCTTCATAGAGGTCACAGGGCCACCATGCTGGATACATTCAGCTAATGTCTTCCCAGTGGAGGATATGCTGTTAGTTTGGCCTCCTCCACGGCCAATGCCAATTTGCATTTTCTCTCCATTGATGGCAGCCATGTATTTCCCTTTCTTTGTGGACTTAGACACCTGGCGGGAGTTTTTTCCAGGTGGCTTTTCAATTCCCTTGTTGTTGCCTTTGAGGGACTTTTTCCTGGTGTTTTTCTGAGAAGAACTTTGGTTCACAGCCCCATTCTTGCTGGGTGAACTTTTCTTTCTTGATTTTGACACTTTGTTGTTGGTACTATTTTGACCAGATGGATCATTAAATGTTGACAGGCAAGGGTTTTTTTGGAGCAGGCTGACAGAATCCTCATCATTGAACATATGGAACTGAAACTGGTGGTTATTTAAAGTAAATCCATCCTCCATTTGGACCTGCTGTGAAAGGGTACTAGAGTCCCACTTGATTTTTTCCACACTGTCCAATGGTCCTGGGACACCCTCTTGGAAACCCTTCAGTGTTCCTAGTGTCTTGATACCCTCACATCTGGTAATTTGAGGGGAAAGACTAGGGGTGTCCGGTGGGGACATCTCTGAAAGGGAAGAGTGGCGGAATTTGTCAGGGGTGAAGTTGGATATATCCAGGAGGTCAGTGGACTCCTTTAGTGGTGCTATCTCATCAGTGCTCTGCTGGATCACCAGCTTAGGGCTGCAATGGGCCAGGAAATCATCAGTGATATCGTCATCGCCATCCTTTTCACAGGACTTCAAGCTTAAGGAGCAATAATTACTTGAGCTGACAGAGAGTGGGGCCATTGAATCAAAGCTAAAGAGCCGACCATTGTCCATATTGACTGGCCCCTGCTGGAAAGGGAAGCAGATCTCTCCATTATTAAAGTGACATAATTGGTAAGAGTCATCAGATGGGATTTGGGTGTCTTGTACAGAGTCATACAGGACCTTGTTGCAATTACTGCCACCACTATTGAGGCAGATTGGATTGTATGGCGTAGGTGTGAGGTTATTTTCCATAGAGACTACTTGGGAGGCTCCAAATTCACTGGATTGGGTTGGGGCTATCTCCCTTGAGACTTCAGCCATGAATTCCTGGGTGCCAGAAGTAGTCTTGTTGGGCCATACATTTCCATAGTTGCTTGATTCCATTTTAAAGTGATGAGATGACTGCTGCAGCTCAGAATCAGAGGATGAGGTGAGCACACAATCCTGGGTAGGCTGGAGAGGTATAAATGATTTTTCGGTTTGAGTGAGGCTGCCTTCATTTTGGTCTGGAGAATGGTGGCTGAAGTATGAGATACTAGTGTTATTTGACAAATCAGAGGCATCTAACAATGTCTGCAGATACCCTCCAGGGATAACAGGTATATTAGTGGTAACATTAGCAGACGATAAAGGCGTTTCAGAAGAGCAGGTCGTTGGTAGAAAAGTGGAATTCTTAGTAACCTTTCCCTCATGAAATTCAGATAGATGGGAACTGTTTGAGATCCCAGTAATAACTTCATTCTTTAAATTGGCTTTAGAGGATTGGTCTTCCATGAGAGGGCTCATTTGAACGATTGGCTTGCTTTCTTGCCCAGCAGCTTTGACTTTCTTAGATTTTAACCTAGCTTCACTTTTAAATTTGATTTTGTTGAGCACTTTCCTCTCTGGCCCCTTGAACTCTGTGTCTTGGGCTTTGACTTTCACTGAGTCAGGACCTGTGATGTCATTTAAATGTGATCCATTTGAACAGCTAGGGGCAGCCATAGTTGCTGACTTCAGTGTACCTTTTAGGCCTCCATCTTCTTTACGATTGCTAGCTTGCCTCTGATCATTGCATAATGAAACCTGTTTATTACTTGCTGAAATTTCAATGGATGGAATTCTTTGAATCCTGTGCCTATTGCCAAGTTTAGATTTTCGTTTGCGAGCAGGTGGCAGAAATGACACCTCAAAGCTACCTGGTTCAAAGCTTTGCTTTTGGGAAAAAGGTGTCTTGATGGAGTCCGTGTTGGTGTTTCTCTGCTTCTTCTTCTTTTGCCAGAAGCCTTTCAAGGGTGCTAGCTTGGAATATTTGTTGAGCTGACTCTCACTCAAATTCACTGTTGTCTCACTGGCATCCACCTTACCCAACTTCACCAGCATGTTCTTTTCACCTTTAAAGCGATTAATGATGATATATTTGATAATAACAGGGGGCTCCTTACGGGTTACTTTTCTTCTCTTTTTGGGACACCATTCATCATCATCTTCCTCTTTGGAACAAACTGGCAGCCATTCCTTCCTCTCATTTACTTTTTCACCCTCTAGTGAGTCAACATCATATAGATAATCTTCACTGTATCTGACCTTTCTCTTGGCTCGCAGCCCATAGTTTTGCTGGGAGGAGGAGCTGCCAGAGTTAGTGTCCCGAGCCATATAGCGACTACAGTCCTTGATCTCACCCATAGCATCATATGAGACCTCAATGAAGGAATTATCATCATTGAAATTCCCTGATGTCTCCAAGGAATTGGCAAGATGGCCCTGCTTTGGATTCTTAAGTTGCTCTACTTCAGTCCCACTGCATGGTTTATTTAAGGCAGATTTTTCTCCATTATCCTTTCCATCTTTCTTCTCTATACCTTTGTCTTCCTGTCCTTCCTCTTTACCTTTCTTCTTGTCCAAGTTTTTATCTTCCTCCCCCCAGATGATGCTCACATCAGGGACCTTGAATTGGGAAAAATCACTGCTCTGCTTCAGGGCCCCACTCTTAGACTCTCGCTTGGGGCAAGTAGTAAAGACGCTGGGGAAAAAGTTGAATTGGGCATCTTCCTGCATCAAAAGAGTAGTCTTGTCTCGAACGTTGTCCTGAAAGGACTCATATCGAATTTTCAGGGAGCAGACATCACTGCCTAGTGTTGATTCATCATCATCAAACATATAGTTATCCACATCTTCTTCAGAGAATAGGTTGACAGACAGCTCATTCTTGGAACAGAGGTCAAGTAGTTCAATCTTACTTTCACTAATGAAAGTTTCAAAGTAACCCCAATCCTGATTGGAATTTGCAAGCAAAGCTTCTTCTGTATTGCACTTGTCTAACAGTAATGCCTCATAATAGCTTTTCTGAGCTGGATCCTCCAAGTCAATGTCAGGTTTCTCAGTTTCTCGTCTGTCTCCTACCCTTGATTTATGTAGGGGGACACCTAGGAGCTGGTCTGAGAGCAGCTGCTCTCCATATTTCATATTTTCTCCAGCATTAATACACTGAATCCCTATATCAGAGACTGCACATGTTTCATAATCCCTGTTTAGATCACCAACTTTCAGACTGATCCCTGGCTCAGGATCTTCTGCATCCTTGGATTCCATGAAACAGCCTAAGCAAGTCCGACTTGGCTGCATGAGGCAGTCCCCATTCAGAGCTGACATGCCTGCAGGCTCCATTATGGCAAATGGAGTTTTCTCACACTCATTGGGAAGGGACCATGTGTTCAGGCCTTTTGCAATGCCAGATGTGAGGGAGATGGCATTCACAGAAGCACTATTAGCAGCATGCTCGGGTGCTTCAATCAGGCCCAAAGGAGAGGGCGGGCTCTGCATACAGGGCTTCTTAGAAGGTAGAGGCAGGAGACCTCTGGGATATATCACGGTTTCCTTTTGTGCCACCGGTATAGGCTGGATAGGTGCAGCAGCTTCTAGAGCTGCAAATGATTTCATTGCCACATCTTGGTCCTCTGAGTCTAGAGAAAAGGGAAAGAAATGACAGGAATAAAATTAAGAGTCTTAGACAAGACTCATTAAGTCTCTTTCCCTTGATGAGTTTGGTACTTGATCTTATTATATAAGCTAATCCTTCACATCTCTAGCTTTACAAATAAAAACTACAATGTTAAAGAACAATCCTGATTTTATATTGAACATTCATGGAAGTGAAAAATAATAATTATTTAGGCCAAACTTCTTCCTCAGAGAAATACAGAGCTTTCCTCAGAAATGAGAAAAGAACTGGACTACATGATCAATTGGAAAGTCAAGTCTTTCAAGGGGAAAATGCTCAGATGGCACATTAATCGTTTTGAGCTAGGAGGCTCAGGTCTGTCCTTTAGGTCCATGTTCTGGAAGCTCCTAGTGACTCTAGAAGTTTTTTTTTCCTTTTTTTGAGACTGAGTTTGCCCAGGCTAGAGAGCAGTGGTGTGATCTTGGCTTATTGCAATCTCTGCCTCCTGGGCTCAACTGATTCTCATGCCTAAGCATTCCTGGTAGCTGGGATTACAGGTGCCTGCCACCAAACTCAGCTATTTTTTTATATTTTTGGTAGAGATGGAGTTTCACCATGTTGGCCAGGCTGGTCTCAAACTCCTGACCTCAAATGATCTGCCCACTTCAGTCTCCCAAAATGCTGGGATTACAGGTGTAAGCCACCATGCCCAGCCACTCTAAAAGTTCTAAGCCTCACATCAGAGCAGATTTCTAATTCACTAGGAATTTTGAGAAACTTCATCTGACAGATATGATTTGGGAGGGTAAAGGGGTCAGATTCAATGTCTCTTAGAGACTCTTATAGCCCAGTAAGGTATTTGGTGGAATAAAGTTTACAATTAACATTCATTTCAGAGGCATCCTGGACTCAGCCTGTCCCAACTTTGTGGGCATTGAAAATTCATAGTAATAACAGAGGACTACCAGTAGAGATATTATATACTATAATTAAATTCCCTTACCATTTTCTTTGACCCCATTAATCAGAGTGTTTTCTCCATTGGCTGAGGCAACAATAGCCTTATCTTGTTGGTTATCCATGAATGTAACCTCTTATTGTTTCATTCCAAGTCCAAATGCTGTCCAACCTGCATATTTCAAATATATAATATCAGTCATTAAATTTGTTATATTTTGTGTTTTATAGGTTATTTCAGCTACAGGAGTTTTAAAAGGCTCACTGGGATTTACCTGTTTCCAGACTGACTTCATCACTGCTATTGTTTTTGTTTCACAATTTATACCTACCATATAAAGTCAGTTTGGAAACTCACACTTCATTCATACATCCTAGATCCTTCCATCACCTCTGGACTACCATACTATTCAAAAGTGAAATCTGAGGAAGCACGCAAACTTATCCCTTCCTCCAAATAGTAATACATTTAACCTAATCATGGTTGCCTGATTAAGAAGGACACAAAGCAAAGTACAGACTAACCTGAGATAAGGTGTGTTTGCATGTGTGTGTGTGTGGCAATTAACTTTATTTTTATTTGCCTCATTTCTATTTCAAATGATCAGATGCTCTTCAAAAAGAAGGCAATTCATACATATGCACACACATACATCATAATCAGATTTTCTCTTTCTGTGCCTTACAATTTGACTGCTAAGAGTGAAACAGGTAAAGAATTTCTTGGTTTCTCAACTTTCAGGACTTTAACTTGAATGCTGACAAGTATTCCTCCAAACCCACAGCAAGATTTTTAAAAAATGTGATTACGAAGAAGATTAGATTTTCTGAAAAGGCCCTAGCATGGTCTGACATTTTTAGGGCACGGTACATATATCTATTTATAGCTCCTGCCCACCTACCTGAGTGGTATTTACATGGAAAATAATAAGCGGTGAGAAGAGGATATCTGTCACATGCCACTACAACATCCAGCCCGCCCCCTATCCCTAGACCTTCTCCCCAGCTGAGCACATGCACTAATAGTCAAGCAGCTATTATAAGAACCTCAATTGTATAGTCATTTATCCTAATGCATGCATATACAATAAAAAGTAGGTCCAGCATCGAGAAAGAAGAAGCAGTAACAGTTTCACTTTATTTAATCTATAAGATATTTTAGGTAGGGGGGAAGACGGCGTTATAGAAGCAACTCAGGATTGCAGCTCTCAGTGAAGATGCAGAGGGTGAGTTCACACCGCATTTCCAGACGGATCTTTGTTGCCCACAGAATGGGGAAATTCCCAGGTGTAGGAGAGACACGGGCCACCAGTACAGCTGTCTTGGCTGACACAACCGTTTCGGCCGGCGCCGCAACATGGTGGCACACCGCACAAAACACACTGGTCTGGGTGCCCTGTTAAACCACCAATTTGAGATTTGGGAGGGCAGATTAGCATATTCATTGGATTAAACGGGACTTGGACAGTGAGCCAGGCCAGGAGATTCCTGGGAAGCGAACTGTGAGCTGGGACAGTGGGTTGCTGCACGGGAAATCACACAGATCCTGGTGCCCTTTCAGCAGGTGACTGAAACACCTGGGAGAGAGTCAAGCATTCAACTTAAAAAAAAAAAGGGCTCTGAGGCAGGAAGCCAGGTGATCAGGCTCGACGGGTCCCACCCCCACAGGGACAAACAAAATGGCGATTTGAAACGCTTGGGATTGAGAGTTTCATGGCGGGCACAGCTGAACCCAGGATGGTGTAGCTCGGTGAGGGAGGGGCATCCGCCATTACTGAGACATTCCACCCCTACTGAGGTACTCTCCCATTGCTGATACAGCCTGCTGTTGCTGAGGCAACCCGCCATAATAGAGAGACTCCACCAACAGGGCAGAACCCATGGCAGCAGGGCGGAGCCCAAGGCAACAAGCCAAACCCCACAGCAGCAGGGCAGACCCCACAACAGCAGGGTGGATCCTCGGCAGGCAAATCGTGATTAGACTGCCTCCTAGCTGGGCAGAACAGTGTAACAGATACTCATAAATAAAGCCCTAACTCCCTGAGACAAAGCATCTGAGGGAAAAAAGGGGTTTTATGAGTTCTGCTGCAGCAGACTTAAACGTACTTGCCTAGCAGCCCTGAATGAACAACGGAGCTCACAGCTCAGCACTTGAGCTCCTATAAAGTACAGACCACCTCCTCAAGCAGTTCCCTAACACCGGTATACCCAAATAATCACCTCAGAGAGGACTGACCAGACTGACATTTGGCAAGCATCATTCTGAGATGAAGATAGCAGAAGACGAAACTGGTAGCATCCCTCACTGTTCTGCAGCTGATACAGGTGTACCCCAGGCAAGCAGGGCCTGGAGTGGACCTCAGCAGTCTTATAGCAGAGGGGCTAGACTGTTAGAAGGAAAACAAAGAAACAGAAATACTTCATCATCAACAATCTGGGCCTCCACTCAGAGAACCAATCAAAAAATCAGCAACTACTCAGACAACAGGTGGATAAATCCACAAAGATGGGAAGAAACCAGCGCAAAAAAGAGGAAAACACCCAAAACCAGAACACCTCGCCTCCTACAAAGGACCAAAACTCCTCACCAGCAAGAAAACAAAGCTGGACGGAGAATGAATGTGATGAAATGACGGAATCAGACTCCAGGAAGTGGGTAATGAGAAACCTCTGTGAGCTAAAAAGACATGTTCTAAATCAATGCAAAGAAACTAAGAACCTTGAAAAAAATTTGAGGAAATGATAACAAGAATGGACAACTTAGAGAGGAATATAAATGAATTGAAAGAGCTGAAAAACACAACATGAGAACTTCCCGAAGCATGCACAAGTTTCAACAGCCAAACTGACCAAGCAGAAGAAAGGATATCAGAAGTCGAAGACCAACTCAATGAAATAAAACAAAAAGCCAAGACTAGGAAAAAAAGTGCAAAAAGGAGTGAACAAAGTCTCCAAGAAATGTGGGACTATGTGGAGAGACCTAATCTACATTTGATAGGTGTACCAGAATGTGAAGAAGAGAATGAATCCAAGCTGGAAAATACTCTTCAAAATATTATCCAGGAAAATTTCCCCAACCTGGCTAGACAGGCCAATATACAAGTCCAGGAAATACAGACGACACCACAAAGATACTCCACAAGAAGAGCAATCCCAAGGCATATAATCTTCAGATTCACCAGGGTTGAAAAGGAGAAAATGCTAAGGGCAGCCAGAGAGAAAGGGTGGATCACCCACAAAAAGAAACCCATCAGACTCACAGCAGATCTCTCAGCAGAAACCCTACAAGCCAGAAGAGAGTGGGGGCCAATATTCAACATCATTAAAGAAAGAAACTTTCAACCCAGAATTTCATATCCAGCCAAACTAAGCTTCATAAGTGAAGGAAAAATAAAATCCTTTGCAAACAAGCAAGTACTCAGAGATTTTGCACCATCAAGCCTGCTTTACAAGAGCTCCTGAAAGAGGCACTACACATAGAAAGAAACAACCAGCGTCAGCCATTCAAAAAAAATACCAAATACTAAAGAGCATCAACAAAATAAAAAAATCTGCATCAAAGAACAGGCAAAACAGCCAGCTAGCATCAAAATGGCAGTATCAAATTCAAAAATAACAATATTAACCCTAATTGTAAATGGGCTAAATGCAAAAATCAAAAAGATACAGACTGGCAAATTGGATAAAAAGCCAAAACCCATCGGTGTGCTGTATCCAGGAAACTCATCTCACATGCAAGAATACAAAAAGGCTCAAAATAAAGACATGGAGGAAGATTTACCAAGCAAATGCAGTACAAAAAGAAGCAGGAGTTGCAATTCTTGTCTCTGAAAAGATAGACTTTAAAGCAACAAAGATCAAAAGAGACAAAGAAGGACATTACATAATGGTAAAAGGATCAATACAACAAGAAGAGCTAACCATCCTGAATATATATGGAGCCAATACAGAAGCACCCAGATATATAAGGCAAGTTCTCAAAGACTTACAAAGAGACTTAGACTCCCACACAATAATAGTGGGAGACGTTAACACTCCACTGTCAATATTAGACAGATCAACCAGACAGAAAATTAACAAGAATACCCAGGGCTTGAACTCAGACCTGGAACAAGCAAACCTGATAGATATTTACAGAACTCTCCACCCCAAATCCACAGAATATACATTCTTCTCAGCACCACATCACACCTACTCTAAAACTGACAACGTAATAGAAAGTAAATCACTCCTCAGCAAATGCAAAACAACTGAAATCATAACAAACAGTCTCTCAGATCATAGTGCAATCAAGTTAGAACTCAGAACGCAGAAACGAACTGAGAACCACACAACTTCATGGAAACTGAACAACTAGCTCTTGAATGTTGATTGAATAAACAATGAAATGAAGGCAGAAATAAAGAAGTTCTTTGAAACCAACGAGAATGAAGACACAACATACCAGAATCTCTGGGACACATTTAAAGGAGTATCTAGAGGAAAATATATAGCAATAAGGGCCCATATGAGAAGAGTGGAGAGATCAAAAATTGACACCCTAACGTCAAAATTGAAAGAGCTAGAGGAGCAAGATCAAAAAAACTCAAAACCTAGCAGAAGACAAGAAATAACTAAGATCAGAGCAGAAATGAAAAAGATAAAGACAAGAAAAACCCTTCGAAAAATCAATAAATCCAAGAGCTGGTTTTTTGAAAAGATCAACAAAATAGACCACTAGCCAGACGGATAAAAAAGCAAAGAGAGGGGAGAGGACTCAAGATGGCACTGTGAGAACAACCCAGGATTGGAGCTCTCATTGAATCCGCAAAGAGGTGAGTCGGAGCAGCATTTCCAGACTGATCTTTGTTGCCCACAGAATGGGGAAACTCCCAAGTATAAAAAAGACATGGGACACCAGGCAGTACGTCCGCCTGGCGAAGGCGGCAGCCGGGGCGGCAGCGGCCGGCCCTACCCAGCAATCCCGACAGGGCACGCTTGTCTGGGTGCCCTGTTGAACCGGCAACCTGAGACTTGAGAGGGCTGGACTTGAGACTGAATGAGACTTGGACAGTAGGCCAGCCCAGGGAATTGCAGGGACAGAGCGTTCGGGGTACCCAGTGAGAAGAACAAAACCGTGATTTCAAACTATCCCGAGCAGACGGTCCGAGACCCTCTGTGGGGGAGGGGCGT